GGTCGACTCGCAATCTGTGGGTTGCGGATTCGAATCCCTGTCACCGAACGTGCTCGCCCTTTCAGTCGTGGAGGCGTTATAACTGACGGTCAATCCCACTATTCGTTGGTAAAAGAGTAGCCCAAGAGTTGGCGGCGGATGGTGTTGACTAGCTACATGAGATCTATATATCTGAGTTCTAAACAGTATTACAAGGTGTCTGTTATCCTTATACTAATACTACGGGCAGAGAAGATAAAATCTTTAATTAAAATAGAACGTAATATAAACGCTGATTCACTTATTACCCCCACCATCATCCCCGTTCATAAGTAAGGATATATAGCCTAAATAAAGCATATGGCCTTGAATGCCGTCTTTGTATACCCACAAATGCCTTCTATTGAATGTACAGCTGTGTAGAAGTCCAGACGCCAAATTTGTTGGTTTATTTTAAGTTATATCTTACTAGTGTAAAGTCATTAGCTGTTCATAGAAAAGAAGAAGAAAAAAAAAACAGAGAAAAGGTAAAATTACTTATAATCTTAACCTTGTTTTAATAGGTAAACTTAACTGTGGTATTCAATGTTTAAATTTTCTGTTGGTCTATTAGAATGAAAAATACTTCCAACACCAGGAAATATAGGGTGACCCTTGAATCGTTTCAAACCAAAAGTCAGCATATTTCAATGACACGTTTTGATCTTCGACGATTAAGAAATAGTTTGTGTACCCTTTAAAACAAATTGTTTTGATTACGTCACTTTCAGGCGTGAAGAAAGTATAAAAAAATGTAAAACTACACCTAGCTGACTGTGTGAGATCACTCCCACTGGTGAAGAATTCGCTGGCCCAACTGTATTAGTTTCGTACGGTGCCGTGATGGCGTTATGGCTAAAGGTAGAGTTGACGCACTTTGTTCGGTCGTGGCTTTTTTTCTTTTTCAGGAGATCCTTTCATCAAGATTTGTGGTAAAACAGAAACTTAACCCTAATGTTATTGTTGAGTTACGCGTTTTTGTTTCAATGGTAATTCAAGAGTAAAACAGTTCGTTCTTTTCACTATTACATGTTTCATAAACATTTTCGTTGCTTTTAAAAAGATATGAAGCATTTTCGGCTAGAGTATTGTAAGAGTATGTAATGTTTGTTGACTGTTCTCCTCAACAGGTGGCGTAAAGAATTCAACTCTTGTTCCAGTGACTAGTATTAACAATTCATTCCCGTATATTATTATATGAAATCAGGTTTTAGATTTTTCATGTAAATATTTATTAGTGCTGGTTTTTGTTTTCGGATAGTGTTTTTCTAAATTAAGACGATCGACGCATTCAAAGTTTTTTGTAATATTTGTTTAACATATATGATTGAACTATTCGTATGCATATGAGATATTATAAAATATGTCTCTCCAAAGTCACGTAATTTTATGAAGAATTATCTAGACTAGATCTATAACGTAGAAACTTGTAATCTGAAATGAAAAATTATGAGGGTGTATTATGTTTTCGTTATAAACAGTAGTGTAAGAAAACACCACCAGTTTTTACTCTTACATATAATTGCTAGAACGCAACTTCGCGGCCCACGTTCCCACGTGACTCACCGAGTCATGGCTACCCAAGGTAATATATATGCTGGTTACAGGGCCATGAATGCTACAGGTACTATCACGTGCGTTCTGGGGGCCGGTTGTTGTCCTGCGCCTGCATTCCACTGTTATCACACAAGTTAAAACCCGGTTTTCTGGGCAGAAAGTTGTCCCTGTGCGTGATGCTAGTGTGAGTCTGTAACTGTTTAATGATATTTATCGGCTAGGTCTCTAAGGTTGTCGGGATAGTTTATTGACGCAACATGCTATTTTTCTATTGTTTCATAACCTGTACAACTAGTATTGAGTTGACTCGGCTTTTTTGATTTGCCATAAAATTTCCTTAGTGGTCGCTCTGCTAAAGTATTTGAATCGTTAGAATTAAGTGTTTTAATACCAGATTTTTATTATGTTTTTTTCTTGTTTTTTGTGTGTGCTTGCGACGTGTAGGTTTAATGCAGTCTTTTGATACGCCGCATCGTTACTTCTTGTCGTGTTTTTTTTCTTCTTCTCTTCATAGTAATTTTGCTTCATTTCCTAAAATCAAATATACCTAATAGTATACAGCATTGATAAAATATCCGAATTTCATGAAATAGTTTTGGATTAAATTCTAGCGTTACAAGATCTCGAGCTTATCGTTGAGCTACTGGGAAGGATTTTCTAACAATAAACCTAAAACAAGAGAGGAGTACAATGTAAAAAGGAACAATTCAACCAAGAAACTATTTCAGTAGGTGCCATTCCAGCGAAATATGAAGGAAGTTAAACTCTACAATCATCATATAGATCCATCGGATTTTGAAACATATTTCCATAAGTATTTATTTACAAAACTGCATGCAAGTTTATGACATACATTACGCAATTTTTTAAACGAAAATAACGCCAATATTCCAGATAATTTTGTCAATTGCTGCTAGGGTTTCGTTTGTATGTTACATAGATGACGAGTGATTTTATCCATTATTTGTCTGTATTTTTGCATAGATAATGAGTGATATCATCCATTTTTGCTCTATATGTTACATAGATAACGAGAGATATCCATTTTTTCTCTGTATGTTACATAGATAACGAGTGATTTCATCCATTTTTTCTCTGCATGTTACATAGATAACGTGTGATTTCATCCATTTTTTTCTCTGTATGATACATAGATAACGTGTGATTTCATCCTATTTTTTCTTTCTGTATGTTACATAGATAACGTGTGATTTCATCCATTTTTTTCTCTGTATGTTACATAGATAACGAGTGATGTCATCCTATTTTTTCTCGTGTATGTTACATAGATAACGAGTGATGTCATCCTTATTTT